ATGATAATGTACTAAATTTGTAAAATAGAAAAAAAAAAAGAAACAGTACCTATCCCGACATGTCGTCGCAATAGGTATGTTATTGGCTCCTGTTAAAACCCTATAGCGACGACTTGTCATCGTAATAGATTAAACCTGTGGTGACGAGTCGTCGTCGCTAAAGGTTTGCCGACGACAAGTCGTCGCTATAGGTAATTAATAAAACTTTATTTTTTAACCCCGAAAATATGATTGACAAACTCTACCTCGACGACGAGTCCTCGGAATAAGTAACGCTATCGCGACGACATCTATACCGACAACTCTATTGACCTATGCAGACATGACTACGCTGACGACTCTATACCGACGACAAGTCGTCGGGATAGGGTCCGAAATTGTCGTCACTATAGGGTTTTATTGTTGTAGTGCATGGTATCATTTGATAAATGTAGAAAAAAAATTGTAAAACATGATGCAGATTTTGGAAATTTAGACAATTTTGACTTTGGAATTAATGTCAAAATAGTTGTTCAATTATTGATGGATTTTTATGTGCGGGAAAAATAGAAGAAAGCAAACTTAGAGCGCAGAAAGTCCGCTGCCATAGTCCTTAAGAGCATACAGTACGGGAACATAATGCCATGGAGGTGCCTATGTGGCACCTCCATAATGCCGTCTTAACGCCACAAATACCGCCCCTGCTTCTCGTTTTGGTGTTGCTCGTTGCTTCTTGTTGCCAGCATAACGCCCCATAACGCCATACTCTTTGTTTCTTTCCTATGTTTTTCTTCATTTTTTGCCTCACTTCAACGAGGTTAAGAATGAGAATACCACCCCCTCTGGAAGTCATGAAGAGTTGGTGATGATGTGGACATGTTGTGAATGGATATGGGTGTGACCCATACCCAATACTCTAAAAAAACTACAAGGGATGAGAAGCTATAAAGTTGGTGTGAAAAATAAAAATAAAAAGTAATTTTTGCCTTTACTTCATTTTAATTTACTCATTATATTATATAACCCTTACATTTATAAAGTTTGATGCAAATAGTAATTTTTAGATTGTTTATCAAATTTTTGTCCTCGTTACGGAAATTAAATACATTTTAGTTCGGTGGTAAAGAAGTTTTCGTCACATCGTGCTACCTGCGTTAGATCCCTAACTGGACGACACGACAACCCGACAAACGCATAAATTACCCCAAACCATAGGGACTATTCATGTAATTTACTCTTTGTTTTGAGTAAATTACACGAATGGTCCCTATGGTTTAGGGTCATTTGCACGTTTGGTCCCTAACTTATTTTTTTAACTCGGAAGGAACCTACAGTTTGTTTTTGTTACACGTTTGGTCCCTGTCTTACTTAAAAAGACTATTTTGCCATTGATTTTTTAATTTATTTAAATAAACACACCCCCAACTCCATTCCTCTCACTTTACCTTACCTACCTCATTATTTTTCCCTATTTAAATAATAGTCTTTTTAGGTAAGATAGGGACCAAGCGAGTAACAAAAACAAATAGTAGGGACCAAACGCGTAACAAAAACAAACAGTAGAGACTTTCCGAGTTAAAAAAATTAGTTAGGACCAAACGCATAAATTACCCCAAACCATAGGGACCATTCATGTAATTTACTCTTTGTTTTGAGTAAATTACACGAATGGTCCCTATGGTTTAGGGTCATTTGCACGTTTGGTCCCTAACTTATTTTTTTAACTCGGAAGGTCCCTACAGTTTTTTTTGTTACAGGTTTGGTCCCTGTCTTACTTAAAAAGACTATTTTGCCATTGATTTTTTAATTTATTTAAATAAACACACCCCCAACTCCATTCCTCTCACTTTACCTTACCTACCTCATTATTTTTCCCTATTTAAATAATAGTCTTTTTAGGTAAGATAGGGACCAAGCGAGTAACAAAAACAAATAGTAGGGACCAAACGCGTAACAAAAACAAACAGTTGGGACTTTCCGAGTTAAAAAATTAGTTAGGACCAAACGCGTAAATTACCCCAAACCATAGGGACCATTCATGTAATTTACTCTTTTGTTTTTTCATTGACATCAAACTCAAAACTTACCCTTTTATACTTTCTAACTAGACGTGGCAAAACCTGACACGACACGACAACCCGACACGAACCCGACACGACAACCCGACACGAAGTTAGCGGGTTAGGGTTAGAGATTTCGACCCGTTTATGTACACGAGTTGACACGACATGACACGATAATTAAACGGGTAGGGTTAGGGTCAAAACTTTCAACTCGAAGACGACCCGATTAATTATATATATATATATATATATATATATATATATATATATATATATATATATATATATATTTCATATTTTTATAAATATTTTCAATATTATATATTTGTAGTGGCCCAAATTCAAGAATTAAAAGTAAAAGGGTAAATTACTGTCCCTATGGTTTGGTCAAAATTGCATGTTTGGTCCCTAAATTTTTTTTGCACTCGGATTGTCCCTGTGGTTTGATTTTGTTGCGTTTTTCGTCCCTTACATACATAATGTTAGGGATCAAACATGTAATTTTGACCAAACCATAGGGACAAAAAACGCAACAAAATCAAACCATAGGGACGACCCGAGTGTAAAAAAAAGGTTAGGGACCAAACGTGTAATTTTGACCAAACCATAGGGACGATTTCAGTAATTTACTCAAAGTAAAATTCAAACTTTCAAAGTGACTTAATTTTACTCTTCCTCACTAACTATCTTATTTGCTTCCTAACTCTAACTCTTTACATTTTACTTTAAACTTAGTACTACCTCCGTCTCATATTTATTGTCCAATTTTGACTTTTGAAGTCTTTATTCTTCAAATTTGACCTTAAATATTTTTTGTTTTTCATATATAACACTTAATGCAAAATATATGAATGAATTGTATTTTAAATGTCTTTTCATTTTTATAATTTTTTTTAAGTAATTTATAACACAAATAAAAATATTTAGGGCCAAAATAAAAAAATAAAAACTTCAAAAGTTAAAAATGGATAACAAATATGGGACCGAGGGAGTATAATTTTTTTTTCCGTTCCACCTCCCAACTCCACCATTTCACTTTTTCATTTTTTTCCTCTATCACTCTTACTTTTCAACCATTAAAATTTTCAACCCGACATGACACAACATATTTATAAGGTTTAAACATTAACCCGAAACCCGATACGGAAATAAACGGGTTGACACGAACCGACACGATAATTAAACGGGTCAGGATAGGGTCAAGCACTCTCAACCCGTTTAATGTATTGACACGACACGAACCCGACACAACACGACACGATTGTCAGGTCTATTTTTACGCTCCAACTTTCATTATTTTATGATTTTGATCATCTATAGCCAAAAAAAAATAAAAAATCTCTACTCACAATTACACTTATACTAAGGGTGTGTATGGGGCGGTTTGGTTCGGTTATTGGTCAAAACCGAACCATAACCATTATGATTGGTTAATGCATTTTGGTAACCATTGAGTATGGTTAATATTGGTTATGGTTAATGGTTTTTGTTGGTTAACGGTTTTGGTTAATGGTTAATATTGGTTAACCACAATGTTCAAAATAATATAAATGACGAAAGTATATGGGCTTAAAAAATGAAAAGAGAATACAAAAGTCATCAGCACCAATGTTTGTAACCTAGCTTATAGTAATATAATAAAATGTCTATCTTTGATACTCAAAGTGAGATAACACATAGTCACATTCAAAATAAAAAATATTTAATAAAAAGTATAAAACATTAAAAAAAATTGACATTAATAACTTCATATATTGATAATCGATATTAACATTAAAATAAAGCCAAACATTTATAGACGTTCAATGTGATTAAATAAAAAACTATAAAATAAAATAGCTAAACATTTATATTACGTGTTATCTGGATATAAAAAAACAATCACTCATATACATTCAATGTGATTAAGTCAAAACAGTAAATAAAAAAAGAAAATTTAAAAAAAAAAATAATACATTCTTAATATATCACAAAGTGAAGAAGAACCAAAAACTTAACTTACCTAGAAGTTTTGATAATAAATTAAAAAAATCCTTCGGATAGAACTATAAAGTCAAAACAATCTTTGATTAGGATTAACGGTGTGAGAAACCTCCGATTAGGATTATGAATGTGATGATTAAACCATTGGTGATTAATGTTTACAAATTATAGAATTAGCCGGTTAAGAATTACAACATTAATCAATAATCTAACTCAATGCATGGTTGGAAAATTATGAGTGTCTGCATGATCATCCTTTGATGGTTTGATTGCACGTTCGTCTCCTATTAAGTGGGGATTAATGAATTATATTTTGAAATTTTAATAGGTCTTAAATAAGTTTGACTATATTATTTTATATATTGTCCATAATTTTTATGTATTAAAATATAAAGTTAGCGGTTCGGTTAATAATGGTTCGGTTAACCTATAAAACCATAACCGAACCATTTGTTATCGGTTAACAAAAATTAGAAACCGAACCAACGGTTTTTAAAACGGTTCAGTTATATCGGTTAATTTGGTTATGGTTCGGTTTTTCGGTTATTATGCTCACCCCTAACTTATACATAACTAGTAAAAAGCCCACATGTTGCCGTAGGTTTGTAGATGTTTCCTAAAATAGCGATTTTACATTGACAAATCCAAGGGAATCATAAAATAACCATTACATTGTAGTGTGTAATTAACGTGGGTTGGAGAGTTGATAGTAGAAAATGTGTTAACTCATGCCATTGATATTTGAATATATATATATATATATATATATATATATATATATATATATATATATATATAGAGAGAGAGAGAGAGAGAGAGAGAGAAAGAGAGAGAGATAGGTTCTGATGTTTAATCTATCTATTGTGTTATTGTGTTCACAATTGTGGGCCAATCATTCTTTAATAGAAAAAACAATAATTAAAAAAATCAATAAGGGTAAGTAGGTAATTTGAGAAATAACTTCCCCAAATACTCCCTATAATTTTGCTAGTTACGTTTGATTTTAACCTAATCCCCTTTTATATAAGACTGATCTGATCAATCGTTGTAGGATCAATTTTAACCTAATCCCTCTTTATGTCAACTAATCATTGGCGCAACTCTGATCCGACTCCATTGCGCAACTTCAATCAGCAACGCGTCAATTTTTGGTAATATTGTTTTTGGCGCAATTGATCATCGGTGCATCTCCATCTCGTGATTCTCTTATGATCATCAGGTGATTGTCAAGAGTTCGAGATTAACTTCAGCCCTAGTTCTTAAGTTTTTTTCCCTTGATACCATATACTTGTATCACGTTCCTTTTTAGTTGTCAATTTTTTTTGTTAGTCAGATAGTCAGATCTGATCTAAGTATATGATCAGATTTATGAATCATGTTTTTGTGAGCATCATCTTGTCTGATCATCAACCTCCCTAGTTGTGAAGTTTTTCTTTTTGGTCATGATCTTTAGCTTAATTCTTTTTTGTGCATTTGATACAATGTCTCTAATCCTCACATTTTTATTTTTATTTTTTTTGTGTGTGTTTTGATGATATTCAAATCAGTGTATATGAGCAGTTTTCTTTTTAGAGAGTCATCACTTGTGAATCTTACAACATCATCTGTTAATCTACAAACCTTAGGTAAGATTCATGTTAATTTTTTTTTCATATGCATGCTTGAGTGAAGGTCTCTCATTATTGATATATTGTGTTTCGTGTTGTGCAAACAAATTCGAAGGTTGTTTCTATTGATAGTTATGAAGATGTTCCAGTAAACGATGAGTCAGCATTGCTAAAGGCTGCTGCAAACCAACCTGTCACTATAACTGTTGCTATTGAAGCTGGTGGCAAGGATTTCCAGTTCTACACTTCGGTAATCCTGATTATTTTTAATCATAATCTTTAATTTTAGTTAAACCAATTTGTAAAATAATCTCCTAATCCTTTTATGAACAATAGATATAAGGCATAACAAGAAGATTCTAGCCAATGATTATAGAATGCACAAATTAGAATCTTTTAATTATAAATCTTTTTGTGTCTCCATGTAATCTTGGTGGTTGAGGCCTAAGGGTTGTGATTTTGTGGGGTGGGTATAAATTAATATCACATTATATTATTATATTTAAAGAGTAGGTATTCCTTTTGTCTTTGTGAATTTCGTCAGGGCATCTTTACGGGACAATGTGGGACCGATTTGGATCACGGTGTGGTTGTGGTTGTGTATGGCACCGAAGATGGGAAGGACTACTGGCTAGTGAGAAACTCATGGGCTGCAGATTGGGGTGACGAAGGATACATAAGAATGGAAAGAAAGCATTATTCATCGTTATATCCTGGCAGAATAGTCCATAATAAAATGATCAAGTGCATTCGTTCAAGAATTCTATATTTAAGAATTCCATGCTTTTTAAGATTTGTATTTATTTTTTATGACATTCTGTTAGGATATGTGTATTTGTATTAAAATGTACAATTTCATAGCAGTTATTCCCATAGAATGCGTGAAGGAGACATGTTGATCAAGGGCGTGAACGTTGGAATGAAATGACGAATTCCAATTCTGTTGGAATCACAGAAGTTGATGCTTGAAGAACGGACCATATTATTCTTTTAGAATGTATTAGTCGTTGTTAGATTTTGATGTTTCTTCCCCGTTTTGATTGTTTTTTTAGTTTTCTTCCATAACAATAAATGTAATTTTTAACAATTCTTATTCGTATTGTATAAGAAATAATGTATTTTTTGTTTTTATTGTTCAAGGTTTTGTTATAGAAGTTGTTACTCTTTAAGAAGTTTTATTTTTGAATATACTCATAAACATATTCTGTCAGAATGTCCGAATTAAAATGATTAAAATTCGTAAAATCAGATTTTTAAAATTAATAGAATATATGATCCCTTAAAAATGCAATCTTCCTTTATTAAATCTATATTAATTAACTAAATTACCCTTGTAATTAATTAAGATGATTTTTTCAATTATATTTAATTCAATAATGTATATTATTCACTTTCTTAAAATAAGTATATTTGATTGGCCCATATTTATGAATACAATAACATAATAGATACTCTAAACAAAATAACCTAAGCCTATATATATATATATATATATATATATATATATATATATATATATATATATATAGAAAAGTTCAGTAGAGAACCATAATTATTGGTTATTCAAGGAACCAAATCTTTTTTCAAGTTCTAAAACTTATTCTTTATCGAAAAAAAATCTAAAAATATCTAAATTCTTATATTAACATTGTGAATATGAAAAATATTTTCGGATTCACCGTGTGAATCCGGATTCACATTGTGAATTTTCAAAGATTCACTTTGTGAATTTGACAAATTTTTTTCGAATTTGATATCATTGGAAAAAGGATAAAAATTTATGAATTTCTGTATTTTTAGTTTTTTTTTGATAAAAAATAAGTTGTAAAAGTTGAAAAAAAGATTGGGTTGGTTCCTTGGTTCCTTGGTTAATTAGATATATATATATATATATATATATATATATATATATATATATATATATAGAGAGAGAGAGAGAGAGAGAGAGAGAGAGAGTTAGATTCAAATATTCCAAAATTTATGTCAGCATGTCAGTTTGTATAATAGAAATTATGTAAGGGTATATGTTAAGTGCAGAAAAAGGATCAGGGCTACAAATAAAGTATATGTAACATACCATTTATGTTTTTGGACATGTGAGTAATGTATTATGGTTAATGAATTTCTAATTTCTATTACCCATTTTTGGTTCAATATTTGACACCATTATTTAATATTTTTGTTGGGTCGTATTTTGTGTTGCGTCTATTGGGCTCGTTAGTTAGTTCAATATGTATCTCCGGTATGGGCCTGTACATCCGTGAGTTTTGTAGGGTTTATTATAAATAGATGCTTGCATGCATCCTAGAACAAGGGATATTTTAGTAACGATTAGAAAAGTTTTATCGTTCTTGTTTTGTAACCCTAGTATCCTCTTCAGCGGAAGTTTTTAATCAAGCTCTGCTGAGGATTGAGTAATCTAATCATTTGACTTATTCATATCCATTCTTGTGTTTTATTTAACTGTTTTTACAATCCATTATTCACCTGTTTCAAGGATCTAATCGATCAAAGAGTTTTAATAACTCATCAATTGGTATCAGAGTAGGAGGCTGTGTAATTCATACACATCTTTTCTGTGAAAGAGTTTGCGATTAGGGTTATTCCGCATTAACTAATATTTATTGAGCCGTCATTCCATAATTGACGTAACTCAACATTTATTTGTGTTGCCCTAATTTTACATATTACAAGTCTGATCTTTCAAACAGGTTAAACGATCAATTATGGACGAGTCACAATCTAATCCCATCAACATCTCAAACAACATTGGATCAACGACGAAGATTCCTATTCTTTACACCCAGGATTACGAAGTTTGGGCACATCACTTCGAAGATTATGTCATCGGATCTGAAGACAATGGATATCTTATTTGGGAAGCAATCGTATCTGGACCCTTTGCTCACTCAACAACGTCAAAAATCATTAAAACTCAGAAAGAGTATAATGATCTGTTAAAGGACGTAAAGGATGTTGCTCAAGACGAAAAGGATAAGTTTCAGTGCAACATTAAAGCATTGAGACTGATTCGATTCGCTCTTCAATCCGATACATTCAGGCTAGTGAGTTCATGCAGCACTGCTAAAGAAATATGGGATAGGCTGCGAGAGCTATATTCCACAGATGAAGATCTGGAACATTCCATTCAGACCTTAATTTTGTCTGAGATTGGCGAATTTAAGCAGAATCCCAATGAAACTGTTACTCAGACGTTCGATCGCTTCAATGATCTTCTCAGTAAGATGATCAAACACGATATAGAAAGGAAGCTGATTGAACAAAAAGTTACTTTTTTGAATGACCTTAGATCTGAGTGGAGAGCAGTTGTGTCCACTATTAAAGCTCATGAGCAATTTAAATCTTATTCATTGGCAAAGCTGGTGGGGATTTTGAAATCCCAAGAAAAGATTGTTTTGCAAGAGAAAAATGTGGTCTCAAGCTTGGGATCCTTGGCCCTTTTGTCTAAAAGCAAAAGTATGGTAGAAGATGAAGACCTTAACTTAGAAGACTATGATCTTACCTCTGAAGATTATGCAATGATGGTGTCGAATCCAAAGAGGTTCATTAAGAAAAGGTTCCCTACCAATAAAAACCGCAATTGGCAGGGAAGCTATAGTTCTGAAAAGGTTAGGGAGGAACCGAAGGCAGAAGAACCAAAGAAAGAGGCGAAAGTTGAAGGAGATTTTGGTGTGAACTGCTACTACTGTGGAGGAAAGAACCACTATGCCAAAGATTGTGTCCTAAAGAAAATGGTAGAGAAGGATGAGGAAAATGATGAAGAAGCTGTGTTGATGAAAAAGCTTGAAGAGATCAAGAGAAAGAAAGCTGTCACTAATCCTTCGATGAATGCTTTAATTGTGCAGGGTTCGGCAGCGGAGGATGAGTTCGGTGGCGTGGAGGTCTGGTCAACCGACTCAGAGGATGATGAAGTCAGGAAGCCATCTCATGGAAAGGTGTATGTTGCAAAAGGTGAAGAAAGCGGTGGAAAGTGTTTGATGGTGACAGATGTATCTTAAATGAGGGGATACAATACAGACGGTGGGAATAAAGACACGAAGGAGCGAGAGGACTTATGCTTCACGGCAAAACCTCTCAGCGTGCAGTTCAATGAGCTTGATGAATTGATCAAGAAGGTACAATCCATTTTTGTTTCATTCAAAGTCCCACAAAATTCATATGAAAAAAAATTAAAAAGTGTAAATTCAAGAATCTCATATCTAGACAGCAGTTTAACTCAAACACGGGTCACCAATTCTAACCTAACTGACCAAATAAGCAGGGTGTCATCAAAGAGTGAGGAACGGAGGATGTGGGTAGAGCTGAAGGAGTCGGAGCTGATCAAATCTAAGGACAAAAACATTTACTTACAAAGAGACAATTTGAAACTTTTGAAACAAAGAAATGTTTTTTGTTTAATTGCTAAGCGTCTTTATTCTAACATCACTCAACTTCATTTGAACTGTGAAATAGGGCAGAAAATTCATCGCATGATTTTGCCCTTCCTTGAGTTTAAGGAGGACGAAATCGATGCTGAAGCATATAATTGCAAAAGTGTAGTTTCGTCTGATGATGTGAATCCGACTTATATGTATGGACTGGACAATATCGAATCTTTTATAAAGTCCAAAGACCATAAGGACATGCTGAAAAATCTTTTGGATGAAAACGAGAAACTGAAACTTAGGACCGAAACCGTACAAAAATTTGATTCATTGAATGCCAATTTAAGTTCAAAAAATAAAATTGATGTTGAAAACGCATCTGAACTTAATGAGGACGATGATATGAGTGAAATTTCTGTAGAGGATGAAGTAGATTGTTCTGAGTTTGCCAGGAGCGAACCCGAAAACCACAAAAATCTTATTTCTGAAATTCTATGGAGTTTGCTCGTTTGTCCCAAGATAAGTCCCCGAAACTTGAAGAAAAGGATGTAGTATACCAAAAGGTGAGAACAACACCAAACCAAGTGTATAAAGTTACAGGTGTAACCGAACACCAAACAGCCGAACTCACTGCCATAGTGAATGAAGACAATGCAGATGGCTGTGATGAATTTTTCTGGTCTGCTCCTATAGATAATGCCGACGAAACTGTTGGTCTATCTGAGCGAACGTCCTGGAAAACCATAGGCAGATATGTTCCAGAGCCACTGAACAAGCCTGACAACTTTGACGTGCCAAGCACTAGTGGTACAAAAGAAATTCCTGTAGAAGAAGTCACTCATACAAGCGAAACATCATCTGTTAAAAGTGAACCGACTGACAGGAAGCAAAAGCAAAAAGCCAACATTCACCGACAGCCGAAGCAAGTGAAGGATCAAAAACAGCAAAGAAATCAGCGATACAAGAAGAATCTCTCAGAGTGAAAACAGTTTTGGCGATCTCAAAACGCCCATTTCTCTTATCATAACAAAAATTCAAAGTCAGAGAAAAGTGCTTTCAGGCTGCAAGAGGGCACGAACAACCGAAAGGACAGGTTCGGTTCAGAGAACGACAGCAACCGAAAGCACAGGTTCGGTTCAGAGAACACTAACAACTGAAAGGACAGGTTCGGTTCAGAGAACGACAGCAACCGAAAGCACATGTTCGGTCCCTCAAATGACCAAAAACAAAAGGGTCACATAAAACCTCAAGTTAGGCAAAATTCTCTGTCCAAACTCTCTCGATCTTAACTCAATTCTGCTCAAACTCAAAATTCAAAATCTTCAACAGATTTGAAAGGAAAATCGAAGGTTTCCTCAGATAAGAATGATCAAAAGCAGTCCAAGGCACAAATGCCAAAACCTGAATCCAAACCAACTGTAACAAATCCTAACAAAATTAAAGTTTTCACCATTAAGAAGAAAGATGAAACAACTCTAATAAAAACAACATACCTTGTTGATATCTCTCTTACTATTCCCGTTCCTATGAAAGGCTCACGTGG